ATTGAATTGTTCTCCTTCAAAAGTAATGAAATAAGAGCGGAGATTTCTAAACAACGTAAAAGAGATACGTGGTCTCATAGTTTCACGGTCGACACGGTGGCAGTTCCTTTCGTAAACACGACCAAATGGACCCAATCCGATAGCACTGAAAATTAAGTTCGGTCGCATGTGCCAAAGTTCGTTGTCCCATATCATCCCAACTAACTCGGTTCGCCAAACTGAATTTTCGGTTCGTCAAACTTCGTCAAACCGAACTTGTGCGGTAGAGTGAACTGATGATGCAAGTTTGGTCATATATGCCGAACGTTCGGTTACACGAACCGAAAGTTCAGTTTGACAAACCGAAAGTTCAGTTTGACCAACCGGAAGTTCAGTTCGACAAACCAAAATTTCAGTTTGATAAACCGAATATTTGAGATGCTATGGAACACTAAACGTTCGGTTCACATGACGGTGTATTTACTAAGAAAAGGGTAAAGTTACCAAGAATTCAGGGTTCTATTTGATCCCAATTTTTTCTTGGTAAAATTACCATTTATGGAATTGGTCATTTTAACGAGAAATCTCGGTAAAATTTTTGACTTTCTCGGTAATTTTACCGGACCCCGGTAAAAACGCCAATATTTTTTTATCGACTGCGTGGTAGAATTACCGAGATAAAATGGCAAAGTTACCGGGAATTGATTACCAATAAAAGTGGTATTCTTACCTGAAAAAAACAGTAAAAATACCGGTTTCTAGGTAAGCTTACCAGTCTGTCTTGGTAAAATTACCAATAATTGGTAAAAAAAGTGAGATGGTAAAGGTACCAACGGACCGTGGTAAAAACGACGAGAATTTTTTCTCAGTGTGAGCTTTCCTGGACGTGTGAGTCGAGAAAGCTCAACGAGCTTTCGGCGCTGGGGGGAGTGTCGGCAACGATGGCGGAGACAGTTAAACTTAGGCGTGGTAGGGCGCTAAGGGCGAGGAAGGTGGGAGGGGCGGGCGAAAGGGATGATTGAAGCGTGGAAGCGCGGGAAATTTATGCGGGACCAAGTCAGCTGCTGCCGGACAGAACAGGGACCAGGGACACGCCACCGCAGCACCCAGCCCCATCCCTGCCAAATCGCCCACTCGCTCTTTCTTATTTCATAGGGTAGAATTTCACGCCCATGAAGAACATCTGTGTCGTGCCAAGGAAAAACGACGTAAGAACTTCCAGGCGTTGACTAATTTCGATGTATTTGTTCATGGTTTCATGACAAATTACGCAACATAAAATTCAGCTATGCTAGAGTACCCATATAGGGAGAGCGGACATGTCGGAATATGGAACTCTCAAGGGCGAAAAGAGCAGAAAGCCTTTGAAAACGATAAACGTCACCTTCAATCTTCAGATTTCAATATCAAAGCAAAATGGCCAGGAATGTTCATAAATGAGTGTTCCTCCGCAAAATTGAGTATACTATGCTCAAACTATAAGTCAAATACGTGCTTCACAAACGAACGGTCGTAAAAATTGCAGTAATGAATCAATATGTATAATTTGAATTCATATATTCAATATGATTCAATATGATTGATTCATAGATTCATCGATAGACCCCTCGGGCCTCAAGAGCTCCATCATTCAACCTCAAAATTATTGTCCGTCTACGGAAAAAAGTAAAATCGCTGATTTAACAATTTTGTGGTCTGACATGTTTCGATGTAGGCTATACAATACAATAAATAAATGCTAATTTAACCATCCACGTACTACCTTTGTAAAATGTACCTTTTTCACTATTGTAAAATGTACAATTGAAACATGTCGGACATTTTTTATGACAGACTAATTGTTAAATTAGCGATCCATTTTTCTCTGTGTACTTTCCCTACATAGGTACTGTAAGCTATGCTAGATCCGTCCGAATCATTTGACAATTTTAGCGCCCTCCACTCACAAACCCGACGCGCTCAGGTCGAAAACGGGGAAATCTTGGGCGACCCGACAACGGCGCGCCTGCGGAGGCGAGATCCGCAACCCGCAAAGCGGCGCCGCACAGCTCAGCACCGGCAAACTTATACCTCCCCCGCTAGTTAGCGGCGCCCAGGGTCACCACAGCGGGCCGCTGGGCCGGGGGGGGGGGGGCGTCCGGCTTTATCTGCAAGCGAGCTTTTTATCCCGCGCCTCCCCCCACCCACCCAGCGCCGCGTTAACGCCCAAATTGGCCGCCCCGTGACGGGCGCCGGAGACCGCCAAGAAATACCGGGTGCCGACGCACAGTGGATCGAGTCAATAGATGAGGTCGGACAGAATTTGGAAACTTTAAACGCTTACAACTCTATTTACACGAAACTTTGAGGCTCTAAACGTGGCTCCATTGGTTTCCTCGTGGAATTTCCTACTTAAAGCATCCCTTGAAATTTAAAACGTGACGAAATAATCATCAAAATTTGCAGTTTTAGTAAACAATTTCATGTCCGACCTCGCTAATTGACTCGACCCACTGTGGGGCGGCCGGCCAGCACAGAACGCGCATTGGCGCCTACAAACCTAAGGGGATACTTCAAGCATTGCGCAATGCGTGAAGTATCCCCTTAGGTTTGTAGGCGCCAGTGCGCGATACGCATACTTTTCGCACGGACGGAATTCGGGATTTGCCGCCGGTCCAAATCTTTCGCAATAGTCCAGGCGCCTGGTAGCTAAAAATGAGGCTACCTGGAATTTTGGGTACACAGCGATTTGTTTAACTTACTATATGTTTTTTGGGTCGCTGAATCCGAATCTGAAGTTTCCTACCGCGTATCTGGTGAGCATTTTCCGCCATTTTGAAAAAATGGCCTAAAAAGGCCTTTTTTGCGGTTTTTTTACATAGCGGCTACGCATGAGAGATAGTCCTGGATTTAGTTAATGTTTTGAATAGCTGACATAATTTGGAAGAAAATGGTGTATACATATGCTAGGTTTGCTTAAAAATTGAGGAAGATACAGCATCGTGAACATCGCACCCATTCACGTTTTCGCGGCGCACCCGTCAACGCGCGATCCGGCTCGCCGCGGTCAGCCAAGTTCCGAAGCGTTCCAAAGTTCCGAGATCCGAGGTTCCTCAATTTTTGAGCAAACCTAGCATATTCATATACCATTTTCCTCCAAATTTTATCAGCTATTCAAAACATTAACTAAATCCGGGACTTTTCTCATGCGTAGCCGCTATATAAAAAAACCGCAAAAAAGGCCTTTTTAGGCCATTTTTTTCAAAATAGTGGAAAATGTTCACCAGATACGTGGTAGGAAACTTCAGATTGGGATTCAGCGACCCAAAAAACATAATGTAAGCCAAGAAATCGCTGTGTGCCCAAAATTCCAGTTAGACTTACCAGGCGCCTGGACTACAAGGGGAACGATCTACTTCGGTAGGGTGGCAGAAGTAGTAGTAATATTCGTTTCATTTAAAGCGGTGCCGTAGCAACTATGCTGCCGTGATAGCGAAGAAAGCAGCAAGTGTCAAATTTTCGAAATCGAATTTCCTTCAAAATTCGTCCAATCTCTTTTTGATGAAATCACTGAAATAGCTAAAACAGCAATACTCATCTTGATTGTTTAAAAACGAGACAAATGAGAAGCCGTGAGTGCGCAAAATGACGTAGTTTCAGGCAAGACAGCAGTGAGTGACAATATTCCTCCAGAGAACCAATGAAATCAGTGCTTTCGAGTAAAGTGCCGCCCTTTTCTGCCTATTTCTAACCTGAAAATGTGTTTGTTGTGTGTCCGAAACGAGTCCACGAAAGCATGCAGATGATTGCACTTAGTGCTTTCTTGCCGAACACTAACCTAACATGAAAATGAATAACACATCTTTTCTGTAATTGAAATAAAATTATTCTATTTTTAACCAACCAAATGATTTCTGGGATGTCGGTGATCCTGGCAATTTTATCGCCGATAAAATCGCAATATATTGCAATTTTTCCGTTGAGAAATGCTACTTGGGCTACTCGTGCCTAAAAAATGTCTTTTTGGTATACAAGCAATTAAATAGTGCCTAGAGAGACGTAGAAACGTGACGTTCGAACAAACCTTATCATCATTTTTATTATCTATGGTCTTTACTCTTTATGCTTAAACCATAAAAGTACGATTCTATTACCAGCACAACTGACCCATTAAATCTGTCAACTGACTTTGAGTGAATCTTGTCAAATGAGGGTGAGCCATGTCATGTGTGAGTATCCGGCTAAAAAGCTCAGGCAGTTTACTCTTGATTCGAATTCTGACCTAATTGAGGTCTTCACTGTACATTTTTGCGTTTATGATCTCTTCGCGTGATGAATACTTTAGGGGCGGCCCTGAAGCCTAAAACAGGTGGTCCGGGACACCCTGTATAAGCATAGATATAGTTCATCATTCAGATCAGCGTACAAATACAGGCCAATGTCAGGAGGAAAGCCTAATCCGAGGTTGCATTTTGTGTGCTTCGGTAAATTCTTCATACTGCATTTTCATCGTGCGTACAAATAACAGGTGGCAGGTGACCTTAGAGTACAAGTGAATTATTACACTTTAATTTCAGCGGTTCCGAATTTATTTGAATTATTACGCTTTCAAGCCCATCATATATACATGTTACTCGATGGCAACTCTAGGTCACGCATGAAAAAAGCCGTGCGCTTCAATCAAGGTTGCCTGGTTATGCAATGAATTATGGATATTTTACACAGCGGCGTGGCGTGAATAGCGATATATCGATTGCTATGCCATTTAAACCTATGGAAAAGGATCGATAAACAGGGTGTTCGCAGCGAACACCTTAATAATCGATTCTTTACAATAGGTTCAAATGGCATAACAGCCGATATATAGCAATTCACGCCACGCCACTGATTTTACACGGGTTTAGATGAGAGAATTTTTGGCACTATGTGGCAACGATGACTTCGATGAACTCAAACTCCCGACCCGATCGCAAATGATCCTTGATAATTCAACTCAAATATTAGTTTGTTTGTTTCAGGTGACTACTTATACCCATCTCATTCTTACCTGCGGAGTTTTCTTGCAGTAGGTGCTCATAGGCACCGTTGTTCTATTCAGACGAACCCAAACGGACCGGATGGAGACTTCAAGCGAAATCGCGGCCGTCGGCCTACTTCTCGTAAGTTCCCATAAGATTGCATTTTGTGCCATCTAAAACATTTACTCGTAAATTGTGCCACCAAGTTGAATAATTCTAGAAAACTTGTCCTCAAAAAAATGTTACGAACCTAAGTCTTAAGTGCAGGCAAATTAGGCGAGGTCTTAAGTGCAGAAAGGACATTCCTTACGGGCATTTCAAAGGGCATTACGGTGTCTCAAAATCTTCAATGCTACTTTGCACTGAAGAAAAAAATATCGGTGTATATACTAAGAAACGGATAAAATTACCAAGAATTCAGAGTTCTATTTGATCCCAGTTTTTTCTTGGTAAAATTACCATTTATGGAATTGGTAATTTTACCGAGAAACATCGGTAAAATTATTGAACTTTCTCGGTAATTTTACTGGACCTTGGTAAAGACGCCAATATTTTTTATCGACTGTGGTAGAATTACCGAGATAAAATGGCAAAGTTACCGGGAATTGATTACCAATAAAAGTGGTATTCTTACCTGAAAAAAAAAACAGTAAAAATACCGGTTTTTAGGTAAGCTTACCAGTGTGTCTTGGTAAACTTACCAATAATTGGTAAAACAAAGTGAGATCGTAAAGGTACCAACGGACCTTGGTAAAAATGCCGAGAATTTTTTTTTCAGTGTGTATTTTAGAGAGGAAACTATTCATTGAGTTATCTGAAATTTTTCGCTCTCGCCATCGTAAAATCATAAAGAAAATTCAGATAATTTCACCGAATTCCGTACAATTCAGGCACGTTGCCGTGGTGGGGGGCTTGAGGGGCTCAAG